GGCAGATAGCTACGACAATTGGGGACCAGATGGGCCCCTGGAGCCTGACCAAGTTTCTTCATGCTTCCTTTAGTTCTTACCTGACTTTCTAGCCTGGACATTCCTACCACCTATGGTTTGGTTAAGCCCCAGCCACCTTCTAACAATTCCCTTGATGTAAGTCCATGCCAGAATCAAGTTCAGCTATTTATTTATTTATTTATTTATTTAATTTATTTATTTATTTTGAGAAGAGTCTCACTGTCACCCAGGCTGGAGTGCAGTGGCGTGATCTTAGGCTACTGTAAAGCTCTGCCTCCCGGTATTCCTCATTCTCGGCTGCCTCAGCCTCCTGAGTAGCTGGACTCAGGCGGCCGGCCCACCAACGCCCAGCTAATTTTTGTATTTTTAGTAGAGACAGGTTTTTCACCATTGTTAGCCAAGATGTCTTCCATCTCTGAACCTCATGATCCGCTCACCCGGCCTCCCCAAGTTGCTGGGGATACAGGCGTGAGCCAACGCGCCTGGCAAGTTCAAAAGCCTTTTTCTGTTTTGGTTTGTTGTTTGTTGTTGTTGTTTGTTTTGTTGTTGTTGTTTTGTTGGTTTGTTTGTTTTTACTTTTTTCTTTTTCTTTTTTTTTGAAGATGAAGTTCTCGCTCTGTTGCTCAGGCTGGAGTGCACTGGACACATCTGCGACTCACTAACAAACCTCACCTCCTGAGGTCAAGTGATTCTCCTGCCTCAGCTTCCAAGCAGTTGGATTTACAAGCGGTGCACCACCAATACCTGGCTAATTTTTGTATTTTTAGTAGAGATGGAGTTTCCACCATTTGGCCAGGGCTAGTCTTTAAACTCCTGACCTCAAGCTGATCCTCCCACCCTCAGTCTCCCAAAGTTCTGGATTATAAGCGTGAGCCACCATGCCCAAGGCCCACGTTCTGCCCTTTTCAACCAACAATCCTGGTTGATACACCTGAGTGTTGACACTCCTTGTAATCTGAAACAAAATGATACACTCCTTGCATATAGCACAGGGATAGTATGCTCTCAACATATAAGTGAATAAAATAGGGCAACTTGGTGATGACTACAAAATCACCTGCTATGATGGCCTGGGTGCATGGAGGCTGTACCACCAGATATTTCAAACTATCTCCATTCCTTTTGTTTTTTGTGTTTGTTTTTGCTTTTGTTGGAGACAGAGTTTCAATATGTTGCCCAAGCTGGAATGCAGTGGTGTGATCACGGTTCATTGCAGCTTCAACTTCCTGGGCTCAAGTGATCCTCTCACTTCAGCCTCCTGAGTAGCTGGGACTACAGGCGTGTACCATCATGCCTGGCTAATTTAAAATTTTTTTTTGTAGAGGTGGGATCTCACTATATTGCCCAAGCTGGTCTCAAACTCCTGGGCTCAAGCTATCCTCCCATCTTGGCCTCTCAAAATGCTAGAATTACAGACATGTGTCACCAACCCCAGCTTTTTGTTGTTGTTATGAAATGTTTTATACATACAAAGTTTTGTAAATCTTCATTTAAGGATGATTTCCTCAATTCCTTCTTTTTGTTTCATTCCTAATAGTTCCTCCCAGGGACCCTTGCAAGAGAGAGAATTCCTTCCTGCTGTTTCTCTTAAGACTCACACCCTCAGGACATAGGGAGAGCTTTTGTTCCATCTCAGAACCCAAGAGCCTTCATGGCCTGCATTACCTCCTCTGAAAGTGTTCAAATTCAGCCTGTCTCCTCACTTTCACTGCTGGGAGGTCGCTCTGGCCATAGGCATCCTGAAAGTTGTAACTTCCCCGCTCTTTGTTGGCTTCACATTTGCACTGATTTTTCGGGAACAGCCTGAAACAAGCAAGAGGATTGTAAATATGGATTGGGTGGGTAGGCTGGTGGGTGAGAGGAAACCAGAGTCCTAATCCAATGTGTAGTTTACTCTGAAAATCTTCTTTCCTACACCCAACTGTTCTGAGATGATGAGACCCTGGAATCCCCTGCACTGGCCCCTCACAGAGACAAAGGGACAAAGGGAGGGAAGTAGGGACAGAGAAAGGCTGAAGACTTTTCCTCTTGAATTATCCCCTGCACCTAACTTCTTTAAATCTGAGAGCTACATGACTGTCAGTTGTATCTCACCCCACCATGAAAGGAGAGCAGAGGGACAGAGAAGCAGCATCTTTTCTGCGGTTTTGATCAAAAACTACATGCTCTCCAAAGTTTTCAGGGATTTTACTGGGTGCTATAGAGGACATAGACTGGATCCTATAGACCAAGCCCTATCCTGGCTTGCAATAACTTGCGCATTCAGCACAGGTTTAGAAAAGCAAGAGAACCATCTGTACAATGGGGCCAGTACTCCAGAGGAGGAGCAAGGAAGATGTGTGCACTAAGGTGAAAGAAAGAACACTCAGTCTCTCACCAGATTCCATCGTAGGAAAAGAGGTTCCTGAGATGTTCCTCAGGCAGAAGCTTCAGCTTCTGGACATCCGGGGCAGGACTTGGGAGCTCTGGCTTGAGGCTACTGAACACTGCTTGAAGGAACGTGCTTCCGAACATAAAACCAGCAACGCCAAGTCCCAAGATTATGACTAATATCTTGAGGAGCCACAGAAATCTCGAGCTGTTGGGACACAAAAGAACAGATTATGTTAAAATCTTTTTTATTGATTATGTAATGTATATGAGACTGATAACTTCAGGAAAAATGTAAGCTAAGCATATAGCTTATATTGATCACTAAAATTGATTTCTGATAAACAGAGGAGGAAAGAATCAAGTTGCAACAAAGGGACTTAGAAAAATTACAAATAAAAGGATGGCCAAAAAAAAAAAATCC